TTTCCTTTCCTTTCCTTTCCTTTCCTTTCCTTTCCTTTCCTTTCCTTTCCTTTCCTTTCCTTTCCTTTCCTTTCCTTTTCTTTCCTTTTCTTTCCTTTTTTTTTTTTAAATTTATATAATGAGGTTGTGTCTTTCAAATCAGTATTGTTTTACCTTTTGTGGTTATGCTCTGTTTGCCTTGTTTGCATCCTTAGGTCAGAATGGCTGTAGCACAACTGCTGCTCAGTCTGTTCACAGCAAGTTTGTATGGCAGAGATCAGAGGCAATTTGTCATTTACACTTACTGCACCTTGCAAATACTTCAGAAAGAACTGGGAATAGGGGATGCTCAAAGCAACCACGTAATATAATTTACTTTTCCTAAATATTTTTGCAGAGATTAGAGGGAGAATTCCCACTGCTGGTTCTAAGTGAAACTACAATTTGCAGGTGGCATGTGTATTAATGTAGTTTCTGGATGGCCCCTTTGGGCCAGTTTCAAGGGAAGTCAAAGCGATCTGTATGTATTCACCATTACAATTATTGGTGTCTCTTAGCTACGTATAAATACAACAGTTACAGAAAAAAAAAGCAGCACTGTGCTGTGGTATGAATGTGTTTTGGGTTTTTTCCATAGCTATTACTTTGATTTTCTGTAGTATTTACAAAGATCTCGTTTGATAGATGTGTCTGTTTTTAACACACAGTGACATTTATCTCTCTCTGTACTTTGTCATACTGGATTTAGCTGATCTTCAGTATCTGATGGAGAAGTGCTTTAATGCTGATCCCCACCCATTTCAACATCTGGAAGAATTTCTCAGACAAATTTTTTGTTCTACTTTGTACACTGTGTCCTGAGATTACTGATTTCAGGCAGAGTAAACTATGTTATAACAATGTGAAGCAAAGTAATCATTGCAAGTCCCCATGTCAGTTATCCTAAAATCAGTAGAAGCCAGACATAGCTTACAGCACTGGAAAATCATTGTTACTAAAATAATTCCTTTTGTCTTCAATAAATTCATAAATCCTGGTTCAGGGAAAGGAGTTAAATTACACAGCTCCTCATATATCGTACCAAACAGATTTTACAGTTCTCAGCTACGTCCATCTATTTCTACCAAGGGTGTCAGTCCTGGGCCATTTTTCTCTTTGATAGGAATCTGGCTATTTCCGAGCTTGATCTGAGTGTTGTTCAGATGCTCGAGAAGTTGGTTTACCTCTGCTTTCTTCCCAGGTCCCTCTTCCCCCCTCTCTTACCTTTGATGCAGATAAATAACATTGCCCTTTGGAATCTGAGGAAGTGCTGCATTTGTCAAGCAGAACATGAGGGGAATATTAGAGAATCAGGCACTATGTCCAGCTTCCCTGAATTTCTGGCAGGTGCCTCACACACAAACACATCTTCTTTTCCATCTGGGAGGAGGTTATCCTCCAAACGTGATGGTTGACTTGTCCTGGCAACTGAACTGTGTTCCTGCCCTGAAGGTCCAAATATTAATACATATTGTTTGTATTAATACAAATCAGTTAAAGCACTAGGAAAGAAGTAGTGGACCAGGTAACAAAGCACACATTAAGAAAGTGCATGTTTTGAAATTTACAGAAAGTGTGGAATGAACCAATGGAAGAAGAGAGACAAGTATTTGTCAGAATTAAGCAGAAGTGCAGCCAATAAAAGATACTGAGGGTTAAATCAGGATTAACATGCAGTGAGCTACTCCTTAGGGCCTGTAAGCAAATCAGCTGTCCCACATGGCAAGGGACACTCACCATTTCATGCCACATTGTTCTTCACTCAGTTTTCCAATCCTTTATTGCAAAGCCACTATTTCTAAGAGTGGATAGCTTTAGCAGTGCTCCTGTAGAAATGATGTTTCTGAATGCAGTCAGAAAAAGCCTAGGAAAATACTGACTTCTTTGTGCTTTCAAGGGTAAGGACTGCAATTTTTAGATCACTTGGGAACAACCTTCACAAGCCAAAAGCCATGGGGAGAGTCATAGAGTCACAGAATGGTTTGGGTTGGAAGGGACCTTGAAGATCACCTAGTTCCAAGCCCCTGCCATGGGCAGGGACACCTCCCACCAGAGCCAGTTGCTCCAAGCCCCATCCAGCCTGGCCTTGAACACTTCCAGGGAGGGAGCAGCCACAGCTTCTCTGGGCAACCTGTTCCAGTGTCTCATCATCCTTGTAGTGAAGAACTTCTTTGTGATATATAATCAAAATCAGTCGTCTTTCAGTTTTAACCCATTACCCCTTGTCCTATCAGCACACTTCCTGATAAAGAGTCCTTCCCCATCTTTCCCGTAGACCCTCTTTAAGCCCTGGAAGGCCTCTATAAGGTCTCCCCAGAACTTCCTCTTCCCCAGGCTGAACAACCTGAACTCTCTCAGCCTGTCCTCATAGGGAAAGTGCTCCAGCCCCCTAATCATCTTTTTGGCCCTCTTCTGGACCTGCTTGAGCAAGTTCATGTCCTTCTTATGTTGGGAGCCCCCGAGCTGGACACATTACTGCAGGTGGAGTCTCACAAGAGCCAGATAGAGGATGAGAATCACCTCTTTTGACCTACTGGCTACAACTGTGGCAGATAGAAGGTATTGAAGTGCATCCAGCCCAGGCAGAGGCTTTTCTGTGGTCTTGCAGCCTTCCCAGGGCAGCTGATGTTTTGGCTAGCTCAGGTATGTCCAGGTACTATCTGGCATTGTACAGGAATATTCTGAGTGCCCACTTGCCATATGATGGGCACTGAGTTCTTGAGTTCTTCAGTAATCATGTCACCTCCAGGTCAGAAGTATAGCCATCAGTAAAGAGATAACTCAATCACTCTTCTTTTAGCCCAGCCCAGCTAAACCACTGTAAGGAGCATGTAGATCAATGCTAAGATGCAAGGCCAGGACTTACACTTTTACTTCTTTTTATCTTATCCTGGACTATACTTGGCCTAAACTTTCATGTAAATGACTGTCAGTCAGATCGCATGCTCAATCTATGCTCAGCAGTACAGGCATCACCTGCAAGGTTCAAGCCAGGATTTTGAAAGAGACGAACCCAAGTTATCAAAATAGCTACCCTGTGAAGGCTATCAGCAATGTAACACCTTAACAGGTCCTGTCTATCTAAAAGAGGCCTTTGGTTTTTGGAAACAAAGCAACGTTCTACCAGCAGGGGAATGTCTGACTGCATCCCCTGTGGCCACACACTTGGCAGAGTTCTTGTCTCCATAAATATCGCAGCCTATGAAGATTTTCATTTTAGTGGTGACATCTAGCAGTATTCCATTATACTACAGAGCATGCATACCTTTTGGAAAAATAATAAAAAAAAAAAAAGAAAGAACTTCACACTGAACAGCTTATACCGAGGTACTGATTAGATCAAAAAGAAAAGTGTCTCACAGACACAAAGCATCTTTCCACTTACTTTTTACCAGCTACAGTTATATGGCTGAGAATTGTGGGTTTGTTGCATGATATAAAAGCCACTCGTCCTAGGCAACAAGTAAACCCATTCTGAGCTATGAAGGTCTTAAAATCTCTTCCACAGGCAGGTACTCAAGTTTCTTTCAAAGACCTTTGAAGCGAGGACCTGTTCTATGGGTATGCTACAATTTCTAAGTGCAGTAAGGCTTACTACTTTGCAAGAATGTTTTTTTCTGTCCCGGTCATTGATATTTCCTCCCCCTATCCTGATATTTAGTAAGACTAAGTTCTGGCTCTGAAATTTTACTTCCTCTTTATTAATAAAATGAGAACAGTGATAATGGGGAAAGCAATAGGGCACAAAGTATAATGAGGATAATTACAGCTAGAAAAAAGATGTCTTATTTAGGATCTATTAATAAATCTTTTTTTGTCATTGCTCTATTTTTGATTAACTGTTTTAAAATTTAAATTCCATTAAAAAGAAAACAAACAACAATGAAGCAAACCACAAGTAAATTAAATACCACATAACGGAACATATTTCCTTCAAAGTCATTTTACTTAAATGAAATATTCCCCCTCATCTTCCTTAGTGGACAGCTTAGTCCAAAGCAAAATCCTGGAAAATAAAATCTATCTTTATTACTCTACATTGTTTTGTGCTTATCTTCATATGGAATATAGGTTGCCTTAA